GCAGCTCATAGCCTCCTGACTTCAGGATGGCAATCAATTTGTCTCGCAGTACAAGAGCCGCCTCGATGGTGGAGGCGCCCGTGCAAATATCGTCCATGTAGACCGAAGTCTCCAAGATAGAAGCCCCCCGAGCGTATCTTAGACGCTCTCTCTCTCAGCGAGTTCGAAGAGGGTTCGTATGGCGCTATACGGGCTGGACCGGAGTCCATAGGTGGTGGTGTTCAAATCAAACACTTGGATCGGATCGCTGGGCTTCTCGCGCCACAATATCAGCTGATATCGACGGTCATCACGATGGACCACTGATTGTCGAAACATCATCCGAATGTCGGCTACAAAAACAACTTGGTGCCGACGGAAGTGGGTCAAAATGTCGGATATGTCCTTGATTAATTTAGGACCAGAGTGGAGACACTGGTTCAGGGACACACCATTTGACGAGGGGGCGGAGCCGTCAAAAACTGCCCCAATCTTACTCCCAGGGGTCCTCAAGACCGCATGGTGGGGGAGGAAGTAGTGCTCTTGTGACCGCCAGTCAGTGGATGTGACTCAGCTCTTGATACTCGGGCATGAACTCGACATACTTGTCGCGAAAGGCTGGGTCGCGCCGCATACGGCGCTCCATAGAAAGCAACCTCTTTTCGGCCAGGGTACGAGATTGGCCCAAAGGGGGCCGTGGGTCAAGAAAGGGTAAGCGGGTGACAAAGCGACCGTCGACGCGGCGACCGGTATTGTTCTGGTAGAACAACTCGCACTCACGGTCCAGAGGCTTGACTCGAGGCGCGTGTGGTGGCTCCTCAATTTCCCAGAACCGCTGGACGACGTCCGAAAGGGATACGCCCACCACAGAGAGCGGGTCGGCCGCCTGAGGTGGTGGAGACCACAGAACCGGTCCAAAGAAACTGTTCCCAAATATAGTGGACATGGTTGACAAGCCATCGGGCTGTAGGGCTCGTATCTCGCCTAACAGGATGAACCCCAGCACGTCGGCCCCTAGCAACAAATCTATAGGCCCAGGTTGGTACTATTGAGGGTCTGTCGGTCTCAAGCCCGACGCGCAACGAACCGCGCTGTCATTTATACGGACGTTAGGGAGAAAAGCTACAATGTCATCGAGGAGATTTACCTTAACTAAGATATGTAGGTGTTCGCTTGCGGGACCAAAAACCAGCTTTGCTTGTCCCCTAGGAGCAGGTGGCTCGGTACCTCCGATACCTACCATTGGACATGATTCAGAGCTCCAGAGGAGCCCCAGTCTTCCCACCAACCGAGTGGAGGCCACACAGCGTTGTAAACCCGAATCCAATGGAGCGCGAACGGTTAAACACTCGCCACTCGGGTTGTCCACCTTCACTGAGGCCGTCGGCAATAGAACAGTTTGACAAGCGGACTGTGGATGGCTCAAAGGATCAGTGAAGGCGGCCGTGGTGGGAGCTAGGGCGGCAGCTTCCTAGCGGGAGCTGCCTCCATCGGACCGGCACTCAAGCCGGGGGTCCGGAAAGCGGCATTCCGGCGTCATCTCGCTGACCCGTGGGTGGAAATCGCCGAACGGACCGACCTGGGGAGCTTCTGGGAACCTCGGCCTTGAGGCCCGGGACAGATTGGAGGTCGCAGGAACTTCGTAGCACCGGTACCGACCAAAGGAGGGGGGTGGTATTCCAGTCGCGGCCTCTCAGCCAACGGGGGTGAGAAGGGTACACGCTGACCGCTGAGTGGCCAAAAAGTTCCTCTCAACCCGCTGACGGGGGGGGTGCCGAATCCCCCACCCCTGGGGGAACGACCCCCCGAATGGTTGTGGGAGGGACCCCCTCCAAAACCAAGGGCAAGGTTGCCGGCAGGAGAGCGACGAGCGTCGCCCGACAGAGGGCGTGGCTGAGCGCCCTCGCCCGTGGGGGATGAGGGCCCGGCAGCGCCCCGAGACGAAGCGCCGTTCGCACCCAGGCACAAAACGGCATGGTGATTGCCCTGGCAGTGCGGACAGGGCCACTGGTGCGGGCAGTCTCGTTGGAGGTGCCTTTCCAAACTTGAGTAGCGCCAGCGGCGCTCCTTGGCGATGGTTCGTCTCGCTGGGACCGGCTTACCTAATAATTTAGGGCACGACGTCACCCGGTGTTCGGATGCAATAGGGCTTCGGTTCGGTTCAGGGGGTTCGACAATAAGAGCAGGAGGGCGTCTCCCTAACCACTAGGCCTCTATAAGGAGGTAGGGGGCGACGCCCTCCCGCGGGAGCATCACTCGGTCTGAAGGGGGTTGACGACGACTTGCCCGGGGGATTCCTCCTCTCCCTGGGCACGGCTCGGTTGGCAGTCTGTAGGTCGTCGACGGTGCCCGCTTCGTTTTCGATCTGCCTGCACTGCTCCTCCAAGAACCGCAGCAGATCCCTGAAGCGCGGAATATAGGAGGCGCCGTCTCCGCCGTACCTCTCCTCGAAGTGGATCCGAAGATCGAGGGGCAGACGGGACAGCACAATGTGCAGCAGCAAAAAGAACCATTCGTCCACCGGTAAATCCAGCCGCCTCAAAGAATTGTAGGCCACCAAGACTGGATTTACGAGGTCCGGCCGTAGTCTGACCCGGTCTTTTAGCAGCGGGAGGTTCAACAGCTGCTTGACGTGCTCGTCCGCGATTCGCCGTACGTTGGCGTACCTTCCGGCAAGGAGGTCCCGAGCGGTCTGGTAGGCGTCGTCCGACAATTTCAAATGGCCGACGGCGCCTAGGGCCTCCCCCTCCAGTGAGGCCAGGAGATATGCCATCTTCTGGCTTGGTGTTAAGTCCCTCCGGGTGTCCACTAGGCTATCAAAAAGTCCCACAAATGTTAGCCATTTGGAGAGGACCCCGGAGAACCTTGGCAGGTCCAGAGTTGGGAGTCGTCCCAAAAGCTCCGGCTGAGTAGGCTGCTTCCGAGGGGACTCGAGCAGGCCACTCAGCCGGGCTTCACGCGCGTCACTAGCACACTTGGCTCCCGCCTCGATCAGGTCGTCCGTGAGCGAAAAAAATTGCTCATAGTCCGTGAGGCAGGAGTTTAGGACTCCCTGTTCCGCTGCCGAGGCCAAAAGCTCGGAGCAAGCCTCCTCCACTACGGCCCTTCGGGCCATGACCTGCTCCAGCAGCTTCTCTAAACTATGGACTCGATCCGGTCTCCCTATCAAGCTGTGAGCATTCGCAGCCCAGCGCAGTTCCGCCTGCAAGCGCAACGTCGGTGACCTATGCGATGGCATCATTACTAGATGCAAGTACTACCAAATTAAATTCAATACAAATTATTTCAAATACAAAATACTATTTATCAAATCAACAAATTACACTACACGATTAATTTAATTAATAAAATTAATTGTGTAGTGTATAACCATTATAAATATTACGGTTAATTAAATCAAACACAATTACTCCTCCGCGAGTACTAACTACAGTCGGTCAACGAGACGCCACGCTAATTAATAATTATTATTACGCTTATGTGGCAACAGTAAATATCAACCCCGCTTACGCCGCTTACGGGCGTGGCTCTAAAATCTACCTACCACTAACAAAGTGAGCGAACAAAGAAAAAAAAAGAGAGAAGAAAAAGAAAGAAAAAAAATATTTTTATTCGTTCTATACACCGTTCCGTCAACAAACAGCACGCGAACAAAACAAAAGAATTATTATTACGTATCACGGCCGGGAGTGATTGCAAAACCAATCAAGAAAACACGCTCTGCTACCAGATGTTACGGCCGGGAGTTACCCTGACGAAAGTCTTTGAACTAGGGCCCGCAGTAGTCCAAATAGACGGGTAACAATAGGTCGAGCCCAAAATGGCTTACGGCTACTTAAACTTTAGCGGTTAGGAGTACAAATATGAAACTTACCGGCTTCCAGAAGTGTAGAATCTACCACGAGGTGGCGTCAGAGGCAAGTAAATGGTAGTTAGTGTGTGGTGTGTGAAGTGTACAGTGTAACCTGATGTCACCGGTAGAAGATAGCTGCACCACGCTGACCGCTCCACAAGACGTTCTCGTTATCGTAAACCAAGTCCAACGTCGCTTAGCACGAACTATAATCGCGAGCGATCTACAGCGGGATCACAAGTCCAACATTCAACACGATAATACAAGTCTTATTACGTTCTCAACGAAGCACTAATAACCCGTCGACGCAATTAACAGTGTAAAAATTCCTGTATTATTGTCCTTCAACCGAAACACCAGCCGTGCACAACCGTATGCCAGTCGCAAGCAATACTTAAACGTTCACAACTACAATTATATAATCTAGGCTCCGTTTAAAAATAAACAAACGTATTAAGACAAACCGTAAGGTTCGCGAAGTATAAATGTCACGGGCTTTGAAGCGGCAATTATAGCAAATCGCACGCGCGACCTCAGAGCTCTACGGCTAGCTCAACAAGAAGCGACGAGACTCGCCGGCGCGGCAGTTTGCAGCAACTATCCGCCCCGCCCCCCCCCTGGCCACGCCGTCAGGCCGGTTTCCCGCTCGAAAACGCGCACCAACGCAGGTTGCAAATTGTTAAAATCATGCCTAAACAAACGTGCGTGAACAATAGTTGTGGGATTTCTCTGAAAGTTACCAAAGGTATGTGTGCTTTTTTTAAACGGCTAAACTACTCATAAGTTTCTTTCAATCAAATTGTAAAAGCCTTAAGGCCCATAGCGTAATGTGGTGGAAAACAGCAACTAAGATGCAATATTGTGGTTTTCTTCTTTGAACACGACATATATATGATATAATAGTTGTGAGATTTCTCTGAAAGTTACCAAAAGTATGTATTTTTTTTAAAGGCTAAACTAACAGTTATGCGCTTGTTTCACTGGGCGTAAATTAAATTTTAGTGAAACTAATAACTGTAACAAAAAGTATCATCATTACGGACTAATTCTATACTAAATTCCGGGATCCGTCCAACCAAACGTGACTAAAGGACAAACACCCAAACATACATTCACATTTATAAAAAAACGATGCGTAGTAATAATCGTGATGATGTAGTGACTGTACCCAATAAACCCTCTGGGTCGGTTGGAGGACCGCCGTAGAGACGACGCGCGTCGCTGTTCTGGTAGAGATGCGCGTCGCCCAACAGCAGGCGGTCGATGTAGCCAGCAGCACCGCCGCTGCACTCCGGTGCCACCCACTCGTCGTGCTTCCCGCCGGGCCCGAGGTAACCTCTACAACGACGGAAAATTAACACGAACAAAGTGCCAACGGACTGCTCTTATAGTCAGTCATATATAATTGGGAAAAACTTAACAAGAGTACCTAATTAAAGTGTAAGGCGTAGGTCATATCACAAATTTAATTGACACGCGATGCTGTTTGCAGTCGTCATTTTCATTGATATTTTTAAACAGACAAGAAAATTATCTTCAATTGTTTTATTAATATTCTTAAACAACTTTGTAAGATAGTAGAATAGTATATGTTTAGGTAATTAAGTTTAATTTATGATAAAGTAAATACATCTCATTATACTGTTGTGGCTGTAATTTATATTGTGTATGGTAATATTTAATAATTGGTGATTTTTTTTTCTTGTGTATTTTATCTTATTTTGTAAATTTAGTATAAGCGATTTGGTTGTATATAATGTAAGCTTATATTTCATCAATAAATGAATATGAATATGAGTATAAATTTCATAGACAATATACTATAGTTATAAATACTCACGCGGGGCAGTCAGGGTGGTGAACAATAAATGTAATGGCTGTATGAACGGCCACCAGCACCCCAACCAGCGCCCAGCACCACACACAAGCTAACACATCTTTGAATGCCTGTCCACATGCCCCCTGGAAGAAAATCACATGTATATAAAACTAATGTTAAAAGTTTAATATAGTCCGTATTTACTTAGAGTTTTAAATATTTGTAAGTGATAATAAGTACCTAGTTTCACAAACATAATATTTTTTTAAATTATACAAAAAACTATTTCTAACTCTCTCGAGTAATTAATGTTTAAATAATTTCATCAACTCAAATTTGCTTTATGTGGCCAATACCTTTGATCTTTTTACCCAACAGGAAATTTTCATTAACGAATGGACAGTAATTGAATCTCTCCTCACTATTTGCAATAGCAAGCGTCCGAAAGATGTATTGCAAATCAATTCCGAAGGTTTCAGGTCCAGTAAAACGCAACTAAAGTTATGTAAAATTTGTCAAAAATTAACAATCGATGCTCCATACGATTTACTCAGGATGCAAATTAATGAGAAATTAAAATAGAATTAATTGACAATTTTAGTGTAGGATGTATGTATTAATGAAAAAATTCACAAAATTAAATCTCACCAAAAAAGTTTTTTTCTTACTAGTAGATAATATAAAAGCTAAATTCTGATTAATCAATGATTGAACAATTAATTAATGTGTATATTTTTGTCTAACGATTATATAATTACTTATCAAAATAACAGTAGTAAATCACCTATGCATGATTTAAATTATTATATAATACTAGCGATATGCCCCGGCTTCGCACGGGTGATATCTGAATTCTACAACAGCGCCACCTACCGGGTCCAACTATGCCTAGCCAATAACTTTCGCGGAAGTGTGATGAAATAGTTGACAAAGTTTTACCGCTATTTGATGAACGGTATGGCAGCACCCAAAATACGAACAAAGAAAAAGTAATTTTGATTTAATTTCATCATCATTATCATCATTACAGGCCTTCTCAAGTCCACTGCTGAACATAGGCCTCCCCCAAGTAATGCCACAAAGCATGGTCCTGAGCCACCTGCATCCATCGACTTCCTGCATATCTTACCAGGTCGTCACTCCATCGATATCGCATATCTTACCACGAGGCTGCCACTCAAGAACCTTTCTTCCCCATCGGTTATCGGTTCTTGGAGCTATATAGCCGGCCCATTGCCACTTCAGCTTACTAATCCGTTGGGCTATTTCGGTCACTCTGGTTTTACTGCGGATATCCTCATTTCTGTGTCTATCACGCAGAGAAACTCTGAACATAGCCCTCTCCATAGCTCGCTGAGCGACCTTGAGCGTCCTCATACGGCCAGCAGTGAAGGACCACATCTCAGATCCGTAAGTCATCACTGGCAACACGCACTGGTTGTACAATCTAGTTTTCAGAGATTGAGGTATACCTGACGAGAAGATGTGTCGTAATTTCCCGAACGCTGCCCAGCCGAGTTCAATCCGTCGATTGACCTCTTGGTCGAAGTTGGACTTACCTAGTCGGACTATTTGTCCCAAGTAAACGTATTCGTCAACAACTTCGAGCATAGTGCTCCCAACAACTACCGGCATAGGTGTGACATGGACATTAAATATGATCTTTGTTTTGTCCATGTTCATGTTAAGACCTATCCGTTGGGAGACACCATTGAGGTCATTGAGCATAGTGCTTAGGTCCTCCAGCGATTCCTGGCTACGGTGACGACCATGGTAACGGCGGGGCAGGGGGTGCTAAGAATCTCCGGTGGAGGTTCGGTTGCCACCTACGACGAGTCAACCTGGCAACATTTAACGCACGCACCCTGAGGACTGAAGAGAAGATCTTGGAGCTTGAAGAAGAGATAGACAAGTTGCGCTGGAATATTATAGGATTATCCGAGGTCCAAAGAGAGGAGGAGGACAAGGTAATTCTTGAATCCGGCAACTTGGCAAAGTGGCGTAAAAAGTTAATATGATGTTTATGTGTGTAAGAAGCCATAATAATTAGATTTATACAATAAAACAATCATGCATATTCCCTATACATATTATATCGTAATGCATTTCAAATTTAGTAACCTTCAACAACGTTATCGATATTTTTATGTTGAAACGGGAACATTAAACTAAAAAAAAAAAACGATACTAAAACCGATTATTTATTATCTATATTATATATTTACCCTATATTTATTGGCGTCACCTAATGGGGAATAGCTGAAATGTTTTCCACACAAATAATCAGCGTAGTGTTGCTATATTTCGCTAGAGGGTATCGATGCTGATAACAAAGCACATACACACGCACGAGCTCACAGTTTTGTATGCAAACGTTCTTAATGTCCGCTCTATGTTAAATATATATATATATATATATATATATATATATATATATATATATATATATATATATATATAAATCTCTTTGGCTGCTAACTACTTCTGTTTTAAGGAGTAGAAAAGTTGTAAGGCCTTTTGCATTTATCTTTGTCGTGACAACACATCTGTTTCTACTACTTAAGTTTCAAGGCACATAGGCTAAAGTAGACACATACCAACAGGTAGAATGTTAACTTGTTAGTTACTCTAATTTCATAAAATATATCGTAAACACACACACACACAAAATACCAACATGAAATAGCGGTATAATGCTGTTGTGTTTGCTTTCCATTGGGAACGACGCATTACATCTTAGTCCTCAGGGCTGATGATTGCTGATTCTTAGTCGAAGCTAGATGTAGGTGTCTATGGGTCACAGTACCCACAAGCCATTAGGTGGACTGTGTGCTTGTTTATTACCACTGCTTTTTTAAAATTAGTTTGCATCATTTACTTACTCCTTTTTATCCCTTTAACTGATTTCATAAATTTATTTACATGTTTTAATAAAATAAAAGTATACGTTGGCTGATTAGATAAGTGCCAGCTAATGATCTGGCCAACAATATCATGTGTTTTTACGCAAATGCAAAACATTAATAACATGCTTTCTGTGGCGTACCTTTACTTATACAATGATATGTAACGTTTTCTTAAAGTATTTTTGAATGATTATCCAGATTACTTTACTAAGTCCGGAAGCGGCTTGTTGTGTAATTGCGGGATAACCCATCCTCTCGTGCACTTACCGAAGTGAGCTTTTTAATTTTAGGTACTACATATATTTCTTTTCTAGTAGATTGACGAGTTGGGTAGCCATATTGTCTTTCCTTTTTAGCCCATTCTCTGTCGCTGTACTCAAACGAGTACAGTTATTTAAAAATTAATTGACTAAATCTGTGAGGGTTTATTAGTTTTTATTTTATTAATTGAAATAGAGGGTAGACTCATATTTTATTTGACTCGTGCAAATTGAGGGTATTTCTATAATATGTGTCATTTGAAGCAACCGGATGTCATGTTATTGGACTAGCGTGGAAGTGAGTAGTATTTTTATTATATTTTATTATTATTATTTGTGTAAATGTTGTTTTTTGTAATAATTGTGATTGTAACTCACATTATAGACTACACTATATCTTATAGTGTAGTCAGTTATTGTTTATTATTAACTTTAGATCAAGATTTTTACTAATGTACTCAGTTGAGTACACTGGTTACTTCAATAGATAAAAAATACAATTTTGTTTCAGTTTACCAACAATGAGTTGCAAGATGTTTTTCGGTATAAATAGCTTTATAGGACTTGAGGAAGCAATTGCAGCAGTCACAGCAGATAGTGATGATGACCGTGAATATGATTTGGCGATAAAACCACCTGATTCCAGTGTCGTGACTGACGAAGAGGAAGGGTCTGATGAAGATATGCTGACATATACGTTGTCACAAGATATGCCCGGAAATATTGAGGTTATGGTATGCGATGAAGGTACTTTTCCATCCTACAATAATTTCAGTGACGAAGAACCATTGGCCGTAAAACGAGTTTGTCGGAAGCCTAACATTCAGCAGTGGCAGTAAACTTCAGCCTGGAGAAAATGTTCACCATCCTATACTTTTGGCCATCAGCATACGTCTGAGGTGCAAAACAAACAAAATGCTTAGCTGAAAGACCGAAATCCTGTACAGATTTTTGAAAAAATACTGGATGAATAAGTATTACAGCTCATATTATCTAATAGTAGTTTGTATGCTAATCAAAACAATATACACTCTTTTCAACTTGATTTACCAGACCTAAAGAAGTTCATTGGTATTTTGTTTTTTGTCGGAATATCACAAATTGCCTCGGGAAGCATTATATTGATGACTGGATGAGGACGTCAGAGTTGCGCTAGTTTCAAGAGCTATGACGAGGAATAAATTTCGTGAAATAAAAAGATATCTTCATCTTGTGAGTAACGATGAAACATCAAATTCCAGAGATAAAATTTTCAAAATTAGATCCCCAGCCGACATACTGATGACCAAATTCAATCAATGGGGCGTATTTGTACTACTATCCGCTGTATTCATGCAAGTACACCCCTGAAAAAGTATAAAAAAATAATTAAAAAAAATTTTTGTTTCATTTTATGTTTGCTAGTCCTGCTCAGATTAACAAAATAAATATTTTCACACACACACACACACACACACACACACACACACACACACACACACACACACACACACACACAGAGAGAGAGAGAGAGAGAGAGAGAGAGAGAGAAAGACAGAGAGACAGACACACACACACATACACTACTAAGTAGTACTTTTTTTTAGTAAGTAGTAAAGTTACAGCCTACTATGTATACATTCCAATGCTGAGCACAGACCCCCTCTCCTTTCTAAGAGGCTTTTACGAGGGCGGCACTGAAAATTTCGGGAATCAAGGAAGTGACACAACATTACTATTTAAAAGTGTATTTATTGCTTTTCGAAGTATTCTCCGCGAAATTTGACACATTTTTCCATACGATGGAACCAATCATTGAAGCAACCATTCCATTCGGATGTTGGGGTCTCCAAAATGGCCGTTGCTGCTTCTTCAGGTGATGAAAATCTCTGTTCACGCAATTTATTCTTTATTTTAGGGAAAGTATGGAAATCATTAGGGCTTAGGTCGGGGCTGTACGGCGGATGGTCTAATAATTCTATGTTTTCTTGCTCTAAAAATTCTTTTGTTCTGTGTGCGGTGTGAGAATTCGCATTGTCGTGATGGAGGATGATGCGGCGGTTGCAGTTCTCTTTACGGAGTTCAGAAACGACCTGTGGCAAACAAATGCTGGCATACCGTTCTGCAGTAACGGTTCTTTGTCCCTCAAGAGCAATAGTCTGGAATAGAGGAATAGGTTTTGGAGACAAACGTGGCCACAATTTTTTTGCAACACTCCGTGAACGAACAATTTTTGTTGGCTTTAACTCATTTTCGAACACCCAAACTCGTGACTGGTTTTTTGTTTCAGGTTCGTACGCGTATATCCAGGATTCGTCACCTGATACGATGTTGTATACAGCATTTGAGGATCCTGCGTGGAATCTTTCGAGAGTTCTGACGCACCATGTAACGCGAGCCGCTTTTTGCTCTTCACAGAGCGAATGCGGTATCCATCGGGAAAACAACTTTTTTACACTTTTTTTATACTAATTTTTATGTTTTCTTTCATGCAAGATTATTTGTATTTGACTCATGCCAATGTCTAAAGTTGCCTGAATTTCGCGGTATGTCATATGTTGATCTTCCTCAATCAGCTTACGCACAGCATCAACATTTTCTTGGGTGACTGCAGTTTTTGGACGACCTAGACGGGGATCATCACTGAGCTTGACACGTCCACGTTGAAATTCAGCAAACCAGCGATAAATTGTGGTTTTGGAGGGGATTCATCACCAATAGCAGAAATCATCCGGTCAACACACTGTTTTTGTGTTAAACCACTTCGAAAATCATAATAAATCATTGCTCTTGAAGTTTCTCGAGTCAATTCCATTTTCTCAACGACTAAACAAGTTTGACAAAACCTTGTGACAGGACCGAGAATCTTTTTTTAAATAAATAAATGGTATTCGATTTTTAAAACCAAGGAGTTTTCAATTAAAAAGATTTTAATATGACAGGAACAGTGGAAATATTCCATTCCAGAGACTTTTAGTGCAGCCTAGGTAAGTAAGGGTATGTCCGTAATTAAGCGCGCTGCGTTGGCACAGTGCGTGTTGGCGAATTTCACACGTCTTTAAAATATTTTTTTCTCATTTCTCAGAGATGAAGGTTTCTTAACGGTATTTTCCTTTACCGCCGAGGACGTGGCACTTAAAATTACAGAACAAATCAGCACTTAAAATTAACAATTACACGGGTGTTGGCAGGGATCGAACCCCGGTTGTTCACGTACTATGAAATTTACAGCGAGCGCTCAGCCCCTGAGCTACCACGGCTAGTTTACAATTATAATTTGCGTATTGATAAATACATATTAATACTTACTCGTGGTGGTGTGTAGTATTTTGGAGCAGTAAGAGCATAGAACCCAGCCACAACCAAGTAGGCCACGGCGAGCCTTTGTAGAACCCCAAATATGCGGAGCTCGCCCAACATGTTTGAACCATAGACCGTATTCAAAGAAACGCCGAGCAGGAACATCATTATTGAACGCTGAACAACAAACAAAAGCGTATAAAATTTTTATATTGTAGTCACTTTCTACTTCTGGCTGAATTTGACTTTAAATTTTCAATCCCGAAGGAATATTATAGTGCTAGAAGTAATATTCCAACATTTTTGATTGGATATTGAGATCATAGACCATTGTTTTAATTGTAATACACTTCCAGTAGATATTCGAATTTTTTAAATTATTAAAGTAAAATCAACTATTACAGTGTATGTAATACACAACCTCAGTTTAACTTATTCTACCATATGTTAGCTCTTAGATTAACAAATCTTGCCAGATTTTCAGCTATGTGTTGTTTATATATAAGCTTTTAAATGATCCTACTTTCATTTTGTTAACACCTGGGCCCAAGAATGTATGGAAACGTCTCCGTCTCGTTTAGAATTATCTGTCTGTATGGACTATATTATCTTTTGAACTATTGCAATTATCGACACAAAATTTATCCGCATTGTTTATAATTCTGGGCCCCGAAATGGTTCAACTAAGTGATTCTATGTCTTGAATTCTCAGAGACTAAGTCGGCGGGCATAGCTAGTCATAAATATCATGTGACTAAGCTACGTGTCTGTGATAGCATTAACAGTAACAAAGAGTTGATCGTAACTCAATCATTAACGTTGAGGTTGGAGAGAGCTCGGGAATTTGTAGCAACACGCGAGCGCGGAATTTCGAATGGATTATTTTGCAGAGGAACATGAATTATTTAGTATACTGATATGTTGTTTACATCAGAAGCATGTACTTGAAAGAATTGGTCCATGATGTCCAAAAATAGGAAGTCTAAATGATGTAAGAAGTGAAAGTGAATGCGTCGGTAACAATATAATCATTTAAAGAACGTTAAGAAAATATTTACAGAAAATTTCTTTACGAAGCAATGTAACTAGACTGGCAAATATTTTTAGATTCGTATTATTAAGAAATCAATCAATTAAAAACAAATTTATAATGTAAACTATTTTCTATAGGTACAATGAAATTTCTTTTGAAAGTGACAAAACGAATAATTGACTATAGATAAATGGAAGAAGGAAGTCTATCGACCAAATTGTCGATATATTAAAAATGGGCCAATTAAGAGTAACAATAACTGACAAGCATGTATGCGTAGATATACAGGTTCGAATGAAGCCAGAGAGGTATGTTATAATGGTGGCAAATGGAAGTATGTAGTCTCAGCCTACCTGACTTTCTTTCTGCCCTAGTAGAACATACTATAAACTTGAGTTTAGTGAGTTGTAGAGTTTATTAAAAAAACTGTTCAAGTGCATGGCAGGCCACGCACAATGTAGAGGTCGGGTTCCGTAGCTGCCTGTCACAATACGTAGGCTTTCTTGATAATGAGCATAATAAGTGAATTCGCGGTTGACCGCTACGACGACTAAAAATGGCCCCATATAGGAAGATGGTAACTGAAGGACTTATTTTCAAATCAGACTTAAAGCGTCTGAAGTATTCAAAAAATATTTAAAAAAAATCAATTTTGAAGACAAAATAATTTACATCAAATCATTCACATGCCAAATCCGTACAAAGATGGACCATGAGTGAGATTTGATGTCTGATTAATACCAAATTTAAGTACCTAATTGGTACTATATAGTACCTAAAGTAAAATTTTAGGTTCCTTATTAGAAAGAAAATCAGAAAGAAAGTGGCCAGTCACGCTGATGTCAGAACGTCTGGACTATTTTATCTTATTCTAGTCATTCTAATTAGTTTATCTCTTTATATAATATATTTTTATTTTAGATTGTTTAAATACAACAATAAAGAATTACGCCTAAAATGTTTTCCAAGTCGTTTTTACAGAATGTGTGCTAGAAGACTGCAAAGCTTTAAAGAAATTGTTTCGAAATATTAATTCATATATTTAGAGCATATATAATAGAGCAACACGGGCCACCGGTGGATCGGAGGGCAGTAGCGATGCGAAGGCGTTCTCCTCTGTCAAAGTATAAGTCCACACGGTCCTATGCGTACAAACTAGTTGCAGCCGCACTGCTCACTCGACTAAATCTAGTTAGGCGGCTGAATCGACGTTCTATAAAAATGCCCATCTGGTCAATTTATTACAGCAAAAAAAGATTTCCCACGTCACATTTACAAATATTTATATATACATTTTCTTTCATACCTATGTAATTTTTAATTACGTTATTGCTATTTATTTATTTTTAAATTACAGCAATTACGGTCGTGTTGTTTCGGATTTGTTTATCAACACAGTCCGCTCGCCTTCATAATATAAAGTGCTGATCTGAGTCGAGTACTGTTATAATGTATCTAGGTATATGTGCGTGAAATTATTAGTTCATTGTTATTGTTACGTGTAATTGTTACGTGTGAGTTTCGTAGTTACAAATGATTGCTTTTGTGTGCAAAGATTTCCCCCCGCAAAAAATGACAGACAGTTCTGTACGGGGAAAAACGGTTTGGCTACTCCCCTCCAGTCCGCCGGCGGTTCGTGTTGCTCGACTTCACCCACCGGTGGTCGTGGGGTCAATATTTTTAGATGTCAGGTCCCCAATCAGCAGTGGATGTGGGGCTATTTTGAAAGCGCCCTCAATATCTATAAAGGTAATAAGCATGCTGGTTGTGATGTATGGGCCTCATACCTACAGCTAAATCCCTAATATATTTATCTATAGCCTTTTCCAAATTCTTGAGAAGAACAGGAGACAGGTTAAAGGAGATAAGTCCTTTCTATCAGCCTTAGGTATAAATATAACTTAGACGATTGTCTATCGTTCTTGAATATATCCCCATGAAAAACTTACTCTGTAGATTTTCACCAGATAAGGAAGAAGAATGTCGATACTCCTCTGTAGTTGGATGGGAATTATTCTATCCTCACCGCTTGTTTTATATAGTTTAAAGGTGTCAACAGCTCGCTGCACCATGTGGTACCTAATTTGTATGTTTACCATACCTAAAATTCGTCCGCAGGAAAGCCCCAGAATATACACAACATATTATTATTATTTTACCATCTCGTATAATAAATGTAAAATATCCTGCAGTGAATTGTTACTTGCTAAAAGAGAAAAAAATAAACAACAACAACTATTACCAACTTCAGCAAATTGCTATTACGTCTCTTACTAACCCTGAGGATGTGTAGAAGAATTTTCCACCTTGGTATCCCCTTCGCAAAGGCACTCTTTACTGACAGCGGGATGCAGACTCCCATAATCCAAAGGAAGGCGGGGAATACGAGATCGCCCGCAGCCAAGCCATTCCAAGTAGCGTGCTCCAGCCACCAGTAGCCACCGGCGCCGTCATTCACGAAAATCATGAACACAATTGCTATCCTAATAAGCGAATAAAAAATGATGAATAGAATACAAAAATATAAAATCTAATAGGATAATTTTAATGAACATTGACAATTTTTTTTAATTAATTTACATCGTTAGCATAAAGATGAAAACGAGCGTTTTCATACGTGGTAGAGCCATGCTGCAGTTATATTAGTAGTATAGTTGTAGCACGAATGGGTCGGCTCGACCGGGGAAGGACCACGCTCTCACAGAACACCAGCGTGAAATAGTAGCTTAATGCTGCTGTATTTCGTATGGTGAGTGTAGAGAACCGGAGACCCTTTTTGCTGGAAACGAGGCATTCCATCTTAGTCCTTACGGGTGACAGCGCATCTGCGTTTTGATTCGTAGTCAAGGATGGATGTAGATGTCTATGGGCCACAGCAACCACTTACCATCAGGTGGACTGTGTGCTCGTTTGTCACCCTATCCTATAAAAAATAAGAGCATATAGTCACCTGATGGCAAATGAATGATGTGCCCATAGAAATCTACCTATATCCTCGATTAGGAATCAAAATGCAGATGTGTTGTCACCCTGAGCAACAAGAAGGAATGCCTCGTTTCCAGTAAAAAGGGTCTCCGGTTCTCTATATACGAAGCACAGCAGCATTAAGCTGATATTTTTCGCTGGTGTTCTGTGATAGTGTGTTTCTTCGCCGGTCGACCCAACCCGTTCGCGCTACAAGCATAATATACAGCTACGTGGTAGAGCAGTGTACCTAACACTGCAGCTCTACCACGTATAATTTAAAAAATTTCCAAAACAAGAATTTATACATAATTTTTATCTGTTGTTGGTTTTTTTTATGTTTTAAGTCCCACTTCAGTAATTTTTAAAAAAAAGTTTAATTATTTAATGCGTTTGGAGTGGTCTAACTAATATTGCAAGTTCAAGGTAGTTTTTTTATACCTACTTATAGTAACTATTGTCCCTGTTTATCAAGTAGTTTTTTTTTTTAATAGGTTACGTGGTAGGTTGGGGCTCTCACATAATACCAGCGTAAAAAACAGCGTAATGCTGCTGTGTTTCGTATGGTGAGTGTGGTGTATGGAGAGAACCGGAGACCCGTTTTACTGGAAACGAAGCATTCCATCTCAGTACTCACGGAAGACAACGCATCTGCATTTTGATTCGTAATCGAGGATAAATGTAGATGTCTATGGACCACAGCATCCAGTTACCTTCAGGTGGACTGTGTGCTCGTTTGTCACTCTTATTCTATAAAAAAGGTACATTAAAATCTTAATTTCCTATTTTTACCCTTAGAGATGGTATTTCTTCTTTAAATATATATGGGGCCACCCCTAAAGTATAACTTATTTACCAAAAAAGAATCATTTAAATCGTTCAGCCAATTCTGAGAAAGCGGTAAACATATGTATGTGTATAAAAACATACTAGTCGAATATATAATCAAATAAATAAAATAACCTTCTTTTTTCTTTTGAACTTTGTTAAAAACATAGTTGATCTGGACAGCATAATAGTAAAATGGCAGCACAACGTGTCTGCAGTCAAAATTGATCAAGACAGAGTCGATGGATTTCACTACATATACACTCTTTATCCTCGAAGTATTTATATATAATATACATTTAATATAATATAATATACATTTAATATAAATAAATACATACTATATAATATAAATATAATATAAATAAATATACATACAAACGGCCGAAAATAATAACTACTTTACTTGCTGGTAGGATTTTTTAACTGCCTAGGAGTTCATCTAAGTAGTTAACATCTATTTTCACAGTTCATGAGGTAGGTATTCCTTCATAGGCTTTAAAAGTGACATCGCATTTGTAGTGTAGCCTTTATTATTTAAATAAAGAATTTTTTTCCTAATTAAATTTGATAAGAGGTTCTATTAGTTGCAGTACACGCTACTTGCCACAAGGAGGACTGTAAGTTTGTTAGTTATTTCGATTTTAAAATAAAAACTATTAACGCTGTAATTGTTTCACTCACCCTCTGAACGTGTCGAGCGCACGAAGTCGTTGCTGTATAGCCAGCTCTTTGTCCCCATAACGTAGCTTCCCTGTCCGCCAGATCCGCGACATTATCAGCTTGCCCAAACCGTATAACACCCATATTCCAAAAAGCACAGCCAGTACAAGGAGAAGAGCTGAAAACAAATACCATTGTGAGGTTTCAGTCTTAGAATAGTAAATCTAAAATTATCTTATCTTGTAAGAAACTACCGCGTGACCCAGTGGTCACTGTCGCACATTAACTGACAACTTTTTTTTTATAGAAGTCGGAGTGATAATCTTACACACAGTCCACCTGCCTGATGATAAGTGTATGCTGTGGCTCGTATACAGCTTCAGCTGTCATCGATTAAGAATGAAAAAGCAGATACGTTGTCACCCCGAAGACTAAGATGGGATGCCACGTTTGCAGTAAAAGAAAAGTAAGAAAGAACAAAAAGGAAATGCATTTATTTTTTAACGTGAGTACTTTTAGTCGAGTTTTTTTTAACCATTAGCAATAAATACAATAATTTTCGATTACTATTGGAAACTATTTTTGGAGAAAAATGCAATCAGTTTTAGCCAAACGCTTTCAGCATTTAGCTGGCCAAAATACATTATGCCTGAGAAATCTTCTTGTTCCAGTGGAATTTACACTATCTATTAACACGATATATGTACCAAAACAAAACTTACAAGTTTTGAAAAAGAAAATCACAAACTGATGTGGAGAGGTGAAAATCTATTGAAATTTTTTTCATGCTTATCGAGAAAAGAATAAAGATATTCATGATTAATGACGGCTTAGTGGCTCAACAACGAGTTGCAGCGCTAGGGGTCAAGGGCTCGAAACAAGTGTTTTTGTAAGGCCTACAAATAATTGTCCCGGATCTAGATGTGTGTGTGACCTTGTGCAATTTATGTTCGCAAACTGCCTCCACGCCACGGTAAAGGAAAAATCCTAGTGTGGTTGTAACGTTTAAAAATACATATCCAAATCCTGAAGTAAATAAATAATCTTTGGCGAAAAATTATTTATTTACTTTAGGATTATTATTATTAGTATGGTAACGGTTTGACCTCCCATAACTGAACAAATTTTGAAAAACCAACTCATGCGAGGCGGCAGGCCAACGGCTTGCCTTACAGCTTTTGCAGCTTTCTCGAAAAAACACTTTCTAAACATTCTAATCTAAGAAAATAAAATAAACTTGGTTACAATCACAAGCATGTATATTATGATAAATAGGCATTACTTGTTATCTCGTATAGTGGCGATGAACGTCTTTTTTCTTAAGTGTTGTTACGTCAAATTGCTGATATACCTGCATGCAGTTGTCAAATGTTACATATCTCCTTCGTGCTATTGGACACTTTAGAGTATTGGCAGATAAAATAATCTCATTCAGATATAAGGCACAGGCTACTTGTAAGTGACAAACACCTTGAATTTACATTTAAACTCACAAAAAAGCAGTCGTGACGGGTCGCCGAAAGTGACTTGGGGTTCGATGCCATAAATATTTAATGGCAATTCAATATGAAATTTCTTTGGCTACTGTCTATTTTGTTTGCTGCAAATTATGTTGACAGTGCTAATTTTCGTGTGGACCCCCTTGTTTTAATTGAACAAGGATTAGTAAGAGGTCAAAAATCTAAAGATAATGTATATTCCTCTTTCTTAGGCATACCGTACGCGCGGGTGGATTCAAGCAACCCTTTTGGGGTACGTACATTCGAATTAATTTAATATAGTATAATATATTGAAGTTGTTAAAAGCAATAGGCAAGTTGCTAATTTTTTATTTATTATAGTAAACATTTTTCCGGGATGAAGATCATTTGTCTTACGTTGGTATTCGGGCAAGTTTCTCCAGTTTCCCCCTATGCAATCCGTTTGATCTTATTTTGAATATATACTCGCCAGTATTTTTTTTTATTATATTGCTTTTCCAGAAAATTTGCTGTAGTTCAGTTCGTCAGATTTGCGTTAAACATCTATTATCATGGGTGTAATTTTAGTTGAATGAAACTAATTTTACACATTTTAAGGATGTTATTTAAAATTTTTTTTTATTCCGGACGTTTTAGACGATTTTCAGCACTCATGATTACGGGGGCTACCTTTAGCACTTAAATATTAACTTCTGGTCCAATTTACGCAGAACGAGCTTACAATATCTTATTAAAATCTTGCAGTGATTTTCTTGGGTTTGAATTTAATTTAATTAGTTATGAGTTCCAAAGCAGAGGACTCAGCCATCTACTCTATTGTCTTATGTAAGACACATCACAAGTTTACTTGTTTTTTTTTTGCACTATTTTGAATCTAAGAGGTGGGTAATTCAGGAATTCTAACGCCTTAGGCACTCAGCACTAAGCAGAGAAAATATAAAATATACAGGGGCACGCACATATCATTTTGATTATCACCAGATCAGTCAAATAGTTAAGTTTTAAAATTCAAACGTAGGATGGCACGGTAACCGTGACGTATTTTTTTAAAAACGTTACAAATGTCGCTACACTAGAAATTTCTCCTGTATCGTGGAGGCAGTTTACTAAAATAAGTTTCACAACCAGACCGGGAATAATTATTTGTAGATCATACAAATGCTTTTCCGTGTGGGATTCAAACCTGCAGCCCTCAGCGCTGCTACTCATTAGCAATCATTTAACGATTGCCTCACGAAGTCCGTGGCTTGTATGAAGCACATGTATTTTTTTTTTTGTATTTATGTGAGAATGAATACTTTTTCACAATTTTTTTATGTTTTTTAGCCAGCACTATCAGCAGCGCCATTTGAAGAGCAAATTTTCGACGCTAACGATGGTTCAGTGAAATGTCCCCAGACGCAAGAAGTGTTTGGTGACTCCACCAGAGGATCGAAAAGAGAGATCGGTCAATTGGACTGTCTTCATCTGAACGTCTATGTGCCTATAACAGCAGGCACGCTTAATCCACTGCCCGTTTTAGTATGGATACATGGGGGATATTTTACTTCTGGCAGTGGTGGAGAATACGACCCACATGACTTAGTCGAACAAGGGATCATCGTCGTTACTATTAATTACCGACTAGGGCCTTACGGATTTATGTGTTTAGACATCCCTTCAGTACCAGGCAACCAAGGGCTAAAAGATCAGTATACTGCTTTACGTTGGGTAAGAAGAAACATCCGGGCGTTCGGAGGCAATCCTTACAATATTACAATTGGGGGTCAAAGTGCTGGTGCCTGTTCAGTTTTACTTCAGCTATATTCTGATAATGAAAAACTCTTCAACAAAGTTATCGTAGAGAGTGGCACGCCACAAACTGAAGGCATGTTTGTAAATGCAGATGTAGACGCAGCTTTAAAACTGGCTGGACATCTTGGATTTAATACATCTGATACTCACGAAGCATTAACATTCCTGGCAGGCACATCTCCTCATTTAGTAACAGCGGCGGCAGCAGAAATCAACTTAGAATTACGTCCTTGTAAAGAAAAATCTTTTAGCGGTGTTGAGAACTTTGTTGAAACTGATCCATTTTCTTTGTCTAACGAAAAGAAAGTTAGAAATACTCCTATACTAATTGGTCACACAAGCAAAGAAGAATACGGGTCGTTGAAAAATTACGGCGAAAGCTATTTCAAGAAAGATCCATTTTACGAAAAGCTTCGTAACAATTTTAATCTAAATGAAGAGCAATTGACTGAAGCATCAGACATAGTAAAGCATTTTTACATTGGCGACAGAGCAGTCTCCGCAGACGTAACATCAGAATTGGAAAGTTTTGATTCAGATTTCAAGTTTAATCATCCAACACAGCGAATGATTACGAATTTGCTGAATGAGAAAGCACATCCCTTATATCAATACGAATTTAGCTACGTTGGTGACTCTGCTGGAGAAGCTGGTCATACAGCAGAACTCCATTTTCTATTCCCAGCGTCTAACACAAATAATGACGTAAATGATAATGATCAATTAATAATAAACCGTATTACCACTCTATGGGCCAACTTTGTCAAATATGGGTAAGTTTATTTCCATATGCCACTAAAAGTAACATTTATTTCGATATCTTACATTATTAAGAAATTGCGCATTTTCTCTCTTAACCAGTTTTATTAGTATTTCTATACATATAAAGAAATGTGAACCTTGCAATTATTGTTGCTTTATTAAATTGTTTCGATCTATTTTATTATCTTATAATATAAAATAATAATTTAATTTTTGTATTTTAGGAATCCCACACCAATGACTACCGAATTATTGCCTGTTACTTGGGAACCAGTCACCACAAATACCAGACCATATTTGGTGATCGATACAGACACAAAATTAGATCACAGGATATTCAACAGTAGGATGGCTTTCTGGGACCTCTTCTACTCATTCTACGGAAAGTTGAATAAACTTGCCCGAGAATGTGATATCTAACATTGTGTGCTTTTAGTGATAATGTGCTAAAATATGAATAAAATCATTATTATTATACAGATACACAACAACACTGACTCGACACAAATGTCAACTCAGGTGTCAGCAACATTGAACTAAAAATAAAATAAAATGTGCTACTCGAATTCGCAACAGGGCCACTTTACGGCACTCGTTATAACGACTTGAATGACTATGACTAGTGTCGCATCTTTAACACTAGGAAGTCACGCTAGTAAAATAATTTTATTTATATTTACTAACTAACTTATTACTAATCATTAAAGTTAATTTTAAAGATAGAAAGATACATTTCAATAAATTGATAATTACAAAGATGACTACTTAATTTGTCTTCTTTTATATCAGGTGCAACAAAAATCTGATTTATAATGAAACCGTACCGCCATTTACAGCCATGATATGCTTCTAGTATGGCCTATAATCACCGTTCGCGAATTACGAAGTCAGTTCGATGTTATAGGTTTATTTATTTTCTTACGAAGCCACTACATGACAATATTTATTATAAACTAAAATAAAATAATTTATTTTTCCTGCCTATATGTACCTTTTTATCAGTATTTATTAAATTTATGCAATCAATGCATTTTTTAGGACTATGCCAAATACATTTGAAACAGAAACAGAAACTATTTTTTTCAACATAAGATTATAAAAATACTTTTAGAAAGTAACTTTTTTTAATTTACCACTGGTTCGGAAAACCCTCTGCCCTTGGAAGAAACAGCAAGAAACCCCGCAAGACTTTAAAAAAAATAACAGCTTACAATCATGTAGGTTACAATTAACAACACAAAACAAATTAGAAATAGCTTGGTAGAGGTCACCTTTCCCAGGGGTATTATCATCCATATTTCGCAAAGTCATTTATTATCCATATTCACTTCTTGATTATTTGCTTGTTCATCATTACTTGTAGCCTGTAAAAGTCCTCTGCTGAATATCGGCCCTCCCAGTGTAGAGTCGTTTAACAGTCGCATTGATAATCGCAGTACCAGACGTTTCGCACCTTTGATCTTTTTACGTAGTCGCATTGCGTCAGTCCAGTTTTTTACGCCCGGCGAAAACAAGATGGTTATAACTTATAATGACAGCGTTATGGATTAAGGGTTTATATTAATTAAGGGTTTATGCTGTCGATGATACCTAAACTAAAAGTAAAATAAATTTACATTCTAAATACGCCTTGCTGCTGGGCACAGACCTCCTCTCATTTCTGAGGGGAATGTCCGGAATTGTCCGCCACGCTGCCATAGCGTGTGTACGGACTTCACATGTTTTCAAAAATTTCTTATCATCATAGTACCTGACGTTATTTAGCAACTAAATTTCTTTGCAGTGCACACGCTACATTCGTTTTGTGGACAAATAATTGGTTTGACCATAAAATCCCATTATATACTACCTCTACTAAACAAACACATCTTGTTTCTTATATTACCATAGTACAGGAGCTTTGATGCTGCTAAGATAGTGTCGGTACACCCGTAGGTGGACTTATTTTACTGTGTTTGTTAAATAAATGTTTTTTCTATTCTAAGAATAAAATAGAATACTATTTTTCTCTTATGGTTATTTTAATAAAATACGAATATAAATAATAGACACAAGTTAAGTAGCAAAGAACCTTTTGTTAGAAGTTTTAAAATGCCTAATTCTCCTGCGGGTGTACGTCGCCCGCGGCTACCTGTGATCTTGCGGCGGCGTCTTTGCCAAGATGAGACACGTGCCAAGGCGACGCGTGTCACATCTTGTCGTGGCGGATCTAAGCGAACAGACTATACCACTATCAAGTTTGACGACACCCCAGGACGAAGTGATGGATTCTCTTACTTGTCTTCACACAGAAATTAATTTGTAACGTTTATGCATGTTTAATACAAGGCTCAGATTTTATCATATGTGGGCTACGTTGAATCTCAAAATAGGCCATTTATTTCTGCTGGACGTTCTTAAACTAGGCAATCGTCCTTAAAAGAGTTAAATCGGTCTCTGTATTGGACTACACTAACGGATGGTACTCATCAAGACAACTCGTCTCGACAATGAACAAATGATTTAGGACAACAGTCTCGCCCACCAACAGTCTTTCGATTTTATAATGAAATATACCAGTATAACAGGACAAAATATCTGACAAAAACATTTCTTTAATCCTATCCTTTTAATGTATATACAAATACCTATACGCCATATAGCGTTACTATAAAGCAATATATTTATTACTATATACAGCAATTTATTTCTTTATTTATACTCGTAGGAAAATAAATCTAAATAAGATAGCAGATTAGTTAATATTTCTTATTATTGATTATACATAATTTAATAACTTTCTTTTAGGTCTGCGTGTTCTTAATTTGATCAATACAGTGCCAATGATCCCGCGTTTGAACATACCCTTAATCTGATTGAATAATGTAGAGTGCGTAACTTCTTAACTCAGCCATTTATTAAACACCATAAAAAGAATGAAACTAAATGGAAACAATGATAACATATTTTTTTTTAAATTTAAGATATACTTAAAAAAAATTTAAAAAGCGGTCAAAGTATGTAAAATTTATTATTCAAAAAAGAACTTTCGAAATACATATTGTAACTTATTTTATCCGTCGCAGCTTTTTTAATGTTATGAAATAAAAATCTTATCAAATCATGTAGGTTGGGTCGCCTTGTTAGCACAGGCGCATTCAGTAGGTATTATTTTAATGACCCATCCTGTATTTGAATTTGAACATAGAACTTAAATCATTTTAACGCACCACTACGCTTACGACACAATCTCTGTCACCGCATAATAACAAAAGAAATCTCAGATTTATTGCGTTTTAACGCTTGACAGTATGAATTATTAACTGTTTTCTCTAAAACTATAACGCCAATTTTCACTTCTCTCTTACCCTAAGTACGTGACTTGGATTTATTCATTTAAAGATTTTAAACTGCGGATATTAATTTTTGCGGGAGATTATTTTTACAAAAATGTGACGCTAACAAAAACGTCATTGCCATTATTATGACAGGATTAAATAATTTTTTTTGGGCTTAATTAGTATTGAAGGTGTTCAACTTATTTTAACTTACGGCCTTTTCGCCATAATATTATATACTAGTATGATAGTGCAGTGGTGGTATATAACAAACCGTGTGAATTAGTAATTACAGTCTTTTTTATGAATGTTTTAATTTCAATATTTGTTATAACAGATTAACCCCTTGTATGTAACACGTCGGATTGCAGAAGTGTACTACAAGCTTGATCGTGAATGTGGTCTCAATTACACAGGACAAACAAAATGATTCATGAAAAAATATAGTTTATGTGAAGGACCGCAGCTCCGGGAAGCCTGCAGTATGTCTACATGTTCAGGGTCGTCCCAAACATCACATCAGATTTGACAATCCACAAATCCACGCAAACGAACATCGATCCCTACCAAGGATAATTCACGAGGCTCCCGTAACTTAAAACCTTTTCAGAAATGGGAGGTAGTCCTGTGTACAGAAGCGGGACGAGTACAGTCTGGTATTAATGATATTTGTTCGATGCCACTATACAATTATTGCTGCAGCACTAATGGGCCCGATCAACCGGAAATGGACTTAGCTTGTAAATGTATGTTGGGTGACGAGAACCGGAGACTGTTTTATTCATAACACCCCTGAGGACTAAAATATTATGCAGACCGCATAATATCTTAGTCCTCAGAGGTAACAACACCTCCGCGTTTAGAGTCTTATTCGAGGATGGATTTAGATGTCTATTAACCACAGCATCCTCTTACCATCACGTGGGCTGTGTGCTTGTCGCACTTACACATAACTTACTCATAATCGTATGGTGTTTATATGGCGTTTTATATTGCCGACATATCGAGTGGGGGTGCTACAAAGCACCTTATTTTTCTACGTTTAATTATATTGTACTTTTGTATTAACTCTATGTTTTTCGAAATAGTTTCATTCATAAAATATTTCATAGTAAGGGGTATATTGCAAGAGGTGACTATAAATCCCAAGATTTCATGGGTTTCGATAGAGATAACTAAACCTACAAGCTGTCTTGTTAATCGTAAAAGACCCTGTACTGCTTAATACCAAGACCACCAATCCGTCTGCCTGAGGAATCCTCTCTACAGCGGAAGACGTTTTACAACGGAATGCCATTACTCTTCAACCTATTCTATTTTTTATTTGCGACTAACTAATCTCAATGAAAATGATTTATTATCTATAAGTCAGTAAAACCTATCAAATAACAATGAATTAAATGTTTATTGCGATCGTATGACATTTTAGACACTGAACTATAAAATAACATTTAATATTTAAGTTAAAATATTCTTTTAGTATCAATGATTTCTCATAACATCGCAAGACGAGTCTTGACAATAACGCAAGATAACCGATATATGTCCAAAGATAGCATCGACTCTTTAGTCTGCAAGGATACGATACGATTGTATGTCAAGGGTTTGAAGATAAAGTATAAAAGGCGACAGCTAATAAATTTATAAGATGCAAATTCGATTTACAAAAGTCAAGGAGGTTGTATATTCGTCACTAGCTGTTCCTGCGACTTCGTCTGCGTGGAATTTATTACGACTTGATTTCGTGTTTTTTTTTTAAAACTTGTTCCGTTCACGTACCGGTAAAATGAATTTGCGTAGGATAGAAAAAAGGTGTCCGAAAATACCGGTGTCTCTTGGAGTTCGTCTAGACAGGTACTAAATAGCAGTGCGTGCACTTCTGTGATCCGGTCTAAAAGTTAACCAGTGTAATAATAGGTTGTGAGTCATTACTTAGACCATGTTAGTTCTCAGTGACAACACATCATTAACCTTCTTTGTTTAAAGTTGGCTACAATTGCCCATGAACTGCAGTAGTCACTGACCTGGTGGACTATAAACTCGTTAACATTACAGTTTTGTTTTTTAAATTGCAGTTGTAAGTTTAGGACAATCTAAAACCGAATAACAAATTGTAATCGTTAGACAATTTTATTTTAACGGTACACGAACGAATTAAGCAGAATCATGAATTTATTCACTGTCCTATTTTGCGGTTTAAGTAATAATAAAATAAAAACGTAGCTAAATAACAACACTATGAAAGATTCAGACAGATCTCGGAAGGAACCTCGTTACATTTTGAAAGCGGTCCCTTAAAACCTTACACTTACATTAACCGAAACCGTATTGAAGAGTGAAAATTTTATCAGAAATGAAAAATAACTCTGCTAATCTATTTATCAGGCAAGGTTAACATTTGCGGTATTATAAAGAAAAAACTGTTAAAATTACCGTTAATGTTACCGTATTTACCATTTTTCAAAAGACTACCTACCTTGAGATCCGTGACTCAACAGTACTGAAATCTTACTTTTTAATATTATACTTACGCAAGTAAATATTGACAGGCTCCTTGTCAGTCCTGACGTCGCAGCCACTGCCATTAATGTTCAACGTGTATACACCAAATTGACCCAATACCGGACGCAATTGGCAAATGAGATCCCTGCAAAGAAATTGAAAATACACATATAAAAACAAACGACTACGTTTTAATTTAGTTCTTCTAAGAATTATATTATAAACAACAAGGTCTCTCCCAACTTGAAAAAAAAATGGTTTTTATTATGAAATTGATAAGCGAAATTCGGCAGCAGAAGGGCAACAAGGCCAGTCGACTGCTGTGTACAAGTTTCCTTTTATTTATAAGGAAAATGGTGTGACAAAATATCCTCCGCGGATCTCGTGCAGTTTGGTTGACATATTAATAATAATAATGTCCTCCAGCCCGAATTTCAGCCACGGCGGCCTGCCTCAACGAAGGCTAGCCATCGGCGCAGGACAGGATTATAGTGCCCAAGTGTAAGCGCAAGTACAGGTGCACTCTCTATTCCCTTACTCTCGTAGTCAGATGTGACGGTAAACACGACCGGGAGAGAGATCAGGCACAGGACCAACGGCTTTACGTGCTTTTTTGCCAAAAACTCAATAATTGATTTTTGACTCGACCCGGGATTCGAACCCAGGATCTCATAATCAGTAGTCGCACTACTACAACCACTAGAGCAACGAGGCAGCTGGCTATTATATAATATGGCTGACATATTATATAATGAATATACATTATACATACATAATCTGTGTAGCTTATTAATTCGTCATAAATTCTTCCGTAATGTTTATCGGTAACTGAAAACTGCGTAAGAAATCCTCCAAGAGTGTGATTTAAAATTATTTATTTCGAGGAAAGCGCCGTGGCATATTTTACCTTGCTCTATCACCTCACAACATCCCTTCACACTTTATGACCTTTTGTTAAGGTCGATTGAAATCGGCTTTTGACGTTCATTAACTAGGCATAAATATATAATGTTTTTTATATAATGTTTCAATAACTGTTTAGTTATAGATTTGAAGGTCAAAAACCTTTCATCTTAATCTGATGAAAACGCATCTGAATTTTGATTCGTGGATGTCTATGGGCCACAGCAACGACTTACCATCACTTGAACTGTGTGCTCGTTTGTCACCCTATCCTATAAGTAAAGCGACCGACATTATAAATAGTCACTGCGGAACAATATAAGAATTTAATATTAAATCGTCTTTTCTCGAGAGTAATATTTTCATTATAATCGTTAAATGTTCTTAATTACTCCAGTGCTGGACATGGCCCTCTCCGATAAAAATTAGAATTAAAAGATTTGTCGTAATAGACACGATCCTTCAATGCTGCTCCCGTTGCCGCTCTGATTTTTTTGTCATATAAACCCATAAGTATTGGATGAAACGACTAGAGAAGTCGCCTCTAAGGTCCAAAATCGAATGGAATTAAGAAGCCGCACAGCTTGGAACACAATAGTTAGTCACTGCATAGGATAAAGAGATGGAATTTAAGGTAGAAAAGATAGATAGTAATGATAATTACAATTTAAGAATTCCAAAATATAAAAATACTTTTCTTTTCAAACTTTCTTAAACGCTGCTAAAACTGTCAAAACGGTCATATTAAAACATTTCCCATTCACTTTATACTTTTGTTAAATATTTATCAGGAAACGGCTATCAATTGTTAATGATGTAATTTTCAGCCATAATATTCGAAAGCTTTTCGTCGACAGTCAGGCTCGTGTAATCATACCAACGGAAGCGTAAAACTATCGTCAAATAAAACAAGCCTGCCACACTTTTACTTTCCGCGGACGTAACCAGTTAAATGCCTCTGTAAATTATTGGACAATATTCACTTATGTTTATTTATTTACACTAACATTAAACGCCATGTCGCGAATATGTATTCGCAAAAATTTTCACGTTAAGTTTCCGTGTTAAAGTTGTAGACAATTGCTGTAGATATATTATACCAATTTACAGCACGAAATAGTTGAGAAATGGGATGGACCGCGCGCTCACAGAAAACCGTGTGTTGTGTTTGTTTATAATATTATTTTATTGCCTTATTGTGTATAAAAAGTAAACTAAGAGCGAACTTAATGTTGCCTTCGCGTTAAGCCAACCCTGAGTGTAGAGAGTTAATGTGATACGTGCATTGAAGTAATTATGGTTTTAATACATAAATTTAATACATAAATAACATTAACTATGTATTTAATACAATAGAATTATGCTGCTATTTTAAGCTGATATTCTATGAAACCGTGATCTGTCTTCCGTCAAATTGACCCTTACTTCCTGCAACCATGTAGCTACAGTGTGACTCCACGTATAAAATAAATAAATTTATTTAAAACACACATTTTTGACCTACATCCCACCTGTTGTAAATGACGCAACTGAAAGCTTTAAGATAATTTATTTTAAGTTTAAGGCAAAAGTACTCGTAAACGTGCTATAAAAATTGCATTGCTGAAATATTGTTGTGCAATACTTTGTAAAGTATATTCGGCAATGTTGCTTCAAATGTATCGCCGAGAAATTGAGTTCATAAACGTGAAGCAACACAGAGGCTAGAGGCTAGGCTAGGTAGCATTGCATTACATTGCGCGATATAGACGCAAACTTGAAGTCTATACTTAATTACATTTAGGAATTGCCACGAAACTACCCGTTTTCGGGCGCTCTAACATTTTCATGTCTAATACATATTTTTACGTAATTTATACATATTATGTGTACGACAGTGAAAGCAATCTGATAATCATTAACTCACGTGGTATTTCCAGTACTCATGTACTTTGCGCTGACATCCTCATACACTCGCCAGGTGGCACGCCGAGCTGTGCTCACCACGAATGAACTCGCTATGCCGGCTTCTAAAGTCTTCTGAAGCTCGAAGGGACACTAGAAAACACAAAAAACTTTTAGCTGAAACAATTACTATCGTAAGTAAAAATAGGAACCTTATAGGTGAACATAGTTCGGGGCTGTGGCATAGGTAGATACTTTTCATATTCATTTATTTTTCATTATTTTTCGTGACTATGATTTATCAATGAAATGTTACTAACTAGCGATCCGCCCCGGCTTCGCATGGGTGATTTCTGGATCTCGACAACAGCGCCACCTACCGGGTCCAATTTTCTTTAAATTTATATAGTAACTAGCGATCCGCCCCGGCTTTGCACGGTTATTTCTGGATCTCGACAACAGCGCCACCTACCGAGTTCAATTTTCTTTAAATTTATATAGTAACTAGCGATCCGCCCCGGCTTCGCACGGGTGATTTCTGGATCTCGACAACAGCGCCACCTACCGGGTCCAATTTTCTTTATATTTATATAGTAACTAGTGATCCGCCCCGGCTTCGCACGGGTGATTTCTGGATCTCGACAACAGCGCCACCTACCGAGTCCAATTTTCTTTAAATTTATATAGTAACTAGCGATCAGCCCCGGCCTCGCACGGGTGATTTCTGGATGTCAACAACAGCGCCACCTACCGAGTCCAAGTGAGTTTTTAAACTATCCAGGCACCCACTCAAATACACACAAAAAATTGATCAAGATCGGTGCAGCCATTTTCGAGTTTTTGCGAGACAAAAGGACAGAAATTGGTTTTTATGTTTAAAGATTTAAAGTAAGCTTTACCTACCGACCGGTTTAAGGTTAAGGGCGTCACAAATTCATTGATTATTATTATTTGGCACGAGTAAAGTTCGAACTTTCGAAAGGATAGAAATTCGAACATCATATGCACTGAGGCACGGTAATTTTATCTATACAGTATTCCAACTTCATACAAACGGACGAAGCGAGAACTATGCCTACGCGCCTCGATCTCGGCATGCGCTCGGCATGCAGACAGTCGTGACTGTGTCGCAGTGATGATTTTGTGTATATTATAAATATATATAAATTGTAAAGTAGCTGCAGGTATCTATAACCAAGTAAAAGATATTCCTTTTCTCCACCTTGTCCATGTTTCCCAAAACAATTTTTAATTAACTTTATATTAGAATGCGGATTTTTTATACATAAAATTTAATAATAAAGCATTTCGCACGTCTCAGCCGAGGCGCAAATATTTTTCGGTCGCAAATTTATAAGACCGATTTGTTATTCAAACTTAAACATGTTTTTTTAATTAAATCTACCAATCAAAAAACAACACGCATTTTTATTGAACACTTCCTATTCAATTCACAAAGTACCTATTATATTTGTTTATATAAAAAGTATATTTACAATAATAAAACTAAATGGAAACACAAAGTAGGCAAATGTAAAAATGCTGGAGGCAGGCAGCCCTATCGCATGTATCCGTACCGCGCGGCTGTAGGCATTTATTTCAAAGATACGGCCGAGTTACAATACTGTATATATAATATTACCGTGACTGAGGGTAGTTGCAAACAATGCACATGTTTGAATTTCGGTTTTTCAATCGCTTTATTTTTTTTTAAATTAAAATGTTTGCTCTTAAAAATTATTAAAAATAATAATGTCATAGACTTGTACTTCAGGTCTTTATTACACCTATTTTTCTCTCACGGTAAAAGACAACCGTCATAATTCCTGCGCCTCTTCCTTCCAACAATTCTGTGAATAATACGAGGGCGGCACTGAAAATTTCGGGAATCAAGGAATTGACACAACATTACTATTTAAAAATGTATTTATTGCTTTTCGAAGTATTCTCCGCGAAATTTGACACATTTTTCCATACGATGGAACCAATCATTGAAGCCACCATTCCATTCGGAAGTTGGGGTCTCCAAAATGGCCGTTTTGTAGGCGTCCACAGCTTCTTCAGGTGATGAAAATGTCTGTCCACGCAATTTTTCTTTATTTTAGGGAAAGTATAGAAATCATTAGGGCTTAGGTCAGGGCTGTACGGCAGATAGTCCAATAATTCTATGTTTTCTTGCTCTAAAAACTCTTTTGTTCTGTGTGCGGTGTGAGAACTCGCATTGTCGTGATGGAGGAGGATGCGGCGGTTGCAGTTTTCTTTACGGAGTTCAGAAACGACCTGTGGCAAACAAATGTTAGCATACCATTCTGCATTAACCGTTCTTTGTCCCTCAAGAGGAATAATCTTAACATGGCCGGTTTTGGAGACAAACGTGGCCACCATTTTTTTTGCAACACTCCGTGAACGAACAATTTTTGTTGGCTTTAACTCATTTTCGAACACCCAAACTCGTGACTGTTTTTTTTTTGTTTCGGGTTCGTACGCGTATATCCTGGATTCGTCACCTGATACGATGTTGTATACAGCATTTGAGGATCCTGCGTGGAATCTTTCGAGAGTTCTGACGCACCATGTAACGCGAGCCGCTTTTTGCTCTTCACAGAGCGAATGCGGTATCCATCGGGAAAACAACTTTTTTACACCTAATTGTTCATGCAAGATTATTTGTATTTGACTCATGCCAATGTCTAAAGTTGCCTGAATTTCGCGGTATGTCACATGTCGATCTTCCTCAATCAGCTTACGCACAGCATCAACGTTTTCTTGGGTGACTGTAGTTTTTGGACGACCTTGACGGGGATCATCACTGAGCTTGACACGTCCACGTTGAAATTCAGCAAACCAGCGATAAATTGTGGTTTTGGATTGGGCTTCATCGCCAAATGCAGAAATCATCCGGCCAACACACCGTTTTTGTGTTAAACCACTTCGAAAGTCATAATAAATCATCGCTCTTGAATTTTCTCGAGTCAATTCCATTTTCTCAACGACTAAACAAGTTTGACAAAACCTTGTGACAAGACCGAGAATCTTTTTTTAAATAAATAAATGGTATTCGATTTTTAAAACCAAGGAGTTGTCAATTAAAAAGATTTTAATATGGCAGGAACAGTGGAAATATTCTATTCCCGATACTTTTAGTGCAGCCCTCGTAAGCTCGTAAGCAATTTTTCATCATTAAAACGTGTATTTGCGGTACCCACTTTACTGTGAACGAGGCATTTTATCTTAGTCCTCAGGGGTGGCAACACATCTGCATTTTGATTCTTCATCATCGTCGTCATCATTACAGGCCTTCACAAGTCCACTGCTGAACATAGGCCTCCCCCAAGGTTTGCCACAAAGGACGGTCCTGAGCCACCTGCATCCCTCGACTTCCTGCATGTCTTACCAGGTCGTCACTCCATCTAGTGGGGCGAAGTTTAGGGTGACCACCCTACACTTCGCCTACCGGTACGAGGTTGCCACTCGAGAACCTTGTGAATCACGCATCTATCAGCCAAACCGCTTGACGTACAAACCTGAAATTAGAACAGTAGCTGCCTTTTTGACGGCTTCCACTAAGAAGTGAAAAAAAAATTAAAAGTTCAACCCTTACGTTTTGTAGAGAACATGGGCGAATTTTGTTATCTTCCGTGCAATCATAAGATCTTAGCGCGGTATTTTTCAATCTAATTAGTAGTCGAACATCTGCCGGAATCTTCGTCTATTGATCACTCTACTCACGAACCTTACGGGAATATTTTCTTCGACGTAAGGTGAGTCGATAGGGCGCTAATCGCCCTATTGGCTTCCTGAGGTGACTCTATCTTGTCCGGTATAGTGTCTAAATGCAAATATGAAATACGACCGGCTTGTGATACGAGGTTAGTTCGATAAAAGTATCGATGAAGTTAATAGTAAGCTCGATATCTTTGAGTGACCTTATATCAAGGACGTCCGGATGTCGGTGTACAGAGAAAGGATAGCGGGTTAGCTCTCAGGAGCGATAACGTCGAAGTAAAGTCGCATGTTACAGTTTTTGATATTTTTTTTTATTTTACGGATCCATTAACAAGAGACATACTAAAAATGATCTGTTAATAAAATAAATGAAAACCTATTTTGAGATTTTTCAAAACAAACCCACACATGGGTCATAAGGTGTTCAAATTTATATAGAGAAAAGAAAAAGAGACGTATTTTTACAAACTGAAAATTTGATGTTTTTTAACTACCCAGTAAGAAAATTGAAAATTTTCAAAATTAGGGAAGTTATTGGTTTCACCCCGATTTTCGAAAATCGAGTTTTCATCAGATCTCGACGTTTTGAGATCCCAGGAAGCTATTCTAACTAATTTCACGTGGACGTCTAAACCTTTCACAACTTTTGAACGTCTTGATCGATTGAGATGCGGCTTGCGGCGTTCTAAATATCTCAATGTGGAATAGATTTGGTGATAATATGTTTTTTGATATAACTTCTAAACGGCTTTACCGATCGATTTCAAAAACTAATCAGCTCTTAACATTAAGAATTGACGTCGAATGCCGTTTGTAAAATAAAATCGGTTCTCATAATGATTTCTTATATTTACGCGAACACTACACATTGAAATAATACTAGTTTTTACGGAATTTATCGCGTATATTTAACTTTTTAATTACCCGACGTTTCGAACGCTTTACAGCACTCATGGTCACGGGCAGGACTGAGATGTTCAACGTCCATATATCATAGTTAACCGCGTTACCATAGATTAAAATTTAACTTTTGTTCCGATCTATGCAGTATGAACTTATGGTATCTTGAAGTCTTGCAGTTGTATGCTTGGGTTGGGATTTAATTTTATTATTATAGGATCCCAAGCAGATGGTAGCACCCAGCCATCTTCTCTATTGAAATTAGGATGTTTTTTGATTTCAATAGCCTCGCGAATCATCCTTGGAAGGAATCGGTGTTCTTTAGCGAGGATCTGCGGTGTATCAAATCTGATGTAGTGACGGGGGCGATCCTGTACATGTTCACAGACTGCAGACTTCCCGGAGCGTCGATTCTTCACATCAGCTATATGTTCTTTAACGCGGGTTTTTATTGATCTTTTAGTTTGTCCTATGTAGGAGAGACCACATTCACAATCAAGCTTGTACACTCCTGCATCTTGCAGAGG